AATACTGACATTACATTTATTAATAACAATGAAAATTACAATACTTATTAATATCAAACGGTAGTAATTAGATAATTAATTGTATTATCTAGCTATGTCGGTGTTTCTTCTGAATCAAACTGTAAACCAAATATATCGTATAAATTTCGTTGAACCAAACTAAAATCTAATAAATGAAGGTTGTGATTAATTATCTTTACCATAACACACGAATATAACAGAAAAGACGTTAAGACATTTGACAAAATCCGACGAGAACAACAAATATAATATCAAATTTAAATACATGAATTTGGGATAGAAAGGTACCGTGACACGTCTTATAGCAATGCGGTTTCACACTCAGCAAACAGTCACAATCGGGAATAAATCACGTTTGGTAATTAAAAGATCAGACGACGTAATGACAAACCACAATCTAACACGTGGTAAAAATGTCCTTAGTTAGTTTGGACAAAGACACATCGTATGGAATGGGAAATTGATAATTGGGAAGTTGAAATCGTCCCGTTTATCATAGATTTTCGTGTGAAGTCGTCCATCTGTGTCAATATTGAGGAAAAGATCAAGGTATGAAGCAGTCCTTCTAGTATCAGTAGTATCCTTAATTTCAATTTCACTGGGATATATGAGATGTAAGTATTGGCTGAAATATGGGTTATTCAATGACAGAACATCATCAATATATCGGAAAGTAAAATTAAAGAATTTCGCAAGGTGCTTTTTCTTTTTGTCTTTTAGAAGGTTCTGAATGAATTCTGCTTCATACGAGTACAAAAACAAATCGGCCAGTAGGGGTGCACAATTAGTTCCCATTGGAATACCGACTGTCTGTTGAAACATAAATCCTCCAAACTCAACAACTATATTGTCGATCAAAAAGTCCAGCATTTTGATAATATCATCTTCAGTATATATTCTGGTAGGTTCAGTGTGGTTTTTCACAAAATATGAATTATTGTAACCCAAAACAAGAAATTTGTATCTACGATTCCCATTTTTATAGAAAAAGCTCTGTTTAATGAAATGGTGAAGTCGATCTTTGAACTGAGCATGGGTAGTAGTAGTGTAAAGCGTAGAAAAATCAAAAGTCTTATGTTGCTGCAAAATTGCAAAGATTGATTGATTGTTGGTTGCTTAACGTCCAGTGGCAAATATTTCATGCATATTCAGGACGAGAACAAATTAACAATAAATACAATAGGTAGGTTCTGTAATAGAGGCGTCTGGGATTGAGGTCGGAGAAATTTAGACTGCCACGTGAAATGAGGGTATATTGGATAGGGACAGAAATTTAGCCTTGCAACAGGTCACCTACGGACCCCTCAAAGAGTTGTTGCAAGTGTTCTTAACGTGCAAAGAGCGTGGCACTCTCATTACACGACGCATCGAATTTAACGTCTCCATTCTGACCGGACGTGGCTGCAAATTTGTACATCCCGCACAGCCAAACGGACGCCCCACTTTGACGAGGGTTTTACCGCCGGTCGGAGGAAGACCAATGGTGACCATACTTCTATTCCCCAGTCACCCTTGGGATTAAAATTGCAAAGATTGTGATCGAAGATTAAGCAGTAGATCTTTCGAATTTTTGAGAATCCACATCTGGTTAACACCACTGGTAGAATATATCTCATCACAATATTTTTGAAGCCCATCTTTAACTGTAGAAAGAATAGTAGTAAGTACTTTAGAAAGATGTTTAGTCGAACATTTTGATGACCCAGCTATGTATCGTTCTTTATATGGAGTTTTGTGTAGTTTTGGTATCCAGTATAATTATGGTAAATTTTATTCGTTTTCTTTGATGTTGATACCAAAAGAAAGGACAGATTTGTGATTTTGTAAAATTTCGTCCTTGGTAAATGATGTTAAAGAATATGTAGGGTTACCAGTAGTTCTATTTATTCCAAGCTCTGTTGTAAGACATTGCAAATAATGGTTTTTACATATGAAGACAATATTATTGGAGGCTTTATCTGCTGGATCAACGACATATTTGTCATGCAAAGAGGATAAAGCATCCACAACATCCTGATTTTAGAAAGGGTTAGTAACTCTTGTGCTCATATTGCATCGTAGTTTTTGAATGCGCTTCTGAATGCATGATCGAATAGCTTTGATCCATTCAGACAAAGTGTCCAGTTCTGGTTCGTCTGGTTCGCGCTTTACCCATTTTCTTGCATAGTCCTCAACTGCATCCATCAGTAACTTGAAATTCTTTTTCCAGTTGATGGGCTGGGGAATTCTCTATTTTGGTCCCTTGGCTAACAACTCTCTTAATTGTTCATTGGTAACGATGCCTAGGTCAAAATGCCAAAATATGCAATCTTTAATGACCTGCCAACAGTATCGTTAACTATATTCCTTCAACATTGTTATTGGAACATATGCACTTAAAATGGGAGAGAAAATTGTGAACTGTCAAACTCCATTCTCTATGGTCCACCAAAAAGCCTTGCCGACTTCGTTCGAGAAGTTGGGAGAGATGGATAAGATTGTGTGACACGTATTTTTTTAATAACCACACATCATCACAATTTTTTGGATTTAGAAGTGAAATTCCTTTCGAAACATTCAATTGGAGGCCGACTAAAGAATTAACTGTACAGTTTTTTAGAAGTAGCAAGTTAAGAAAAATCACACAGGTAAATGATAAATAAAAGTCAGGATAAATTTTAAAAAAAAAAGGCAGGACCGAATAGAGGGAAAAATAAAAAGGCAGGACAGAGATTACAACTAAAAAAAAAATGCAGGACAAAATTTTTCATCCTAGCATGGATATAAACAGGCACACACAGAATTAAACGTGGTTTAACTATTTCGAAGGCGCCAACTGTCCCAGGTACCTCTTACCTGGGACAGTGGTGTAACAGTACTACATAAGAATAATATACAATAATCAGTTGAAACAGTAGAAATACTATCCAGAAGTTGACGCTTCCGTCAAATCTTCCTCTCTATCAGCACCTGCTTGTGTAGGCTTGTCCTTTATAAGAGACTTCCCATGCGATTAGGAAACCGTACAACTAGGAGTGGCTTTCTTCAAAAATTCTACTTCAATAAACTTATCTTCCTTTGAGACGAAGAAAACTTTCTCTTTGTATGACTTATTATCTTTGGCGTCGTTCTCTTTCTAACGACTCTCCCAATCTCAAGGTCCGTCGTGACAGGAGGAAGCAACTCGGCGACATCCACAACAGGATCTCTCTGACAGATCCTTCACCGGATTGCTATACCTCAATTGTCGACTTATATGATACTGACTGATTCGTTCATTGTTGAAAACCCTCAACGAACAACATAAACTTGGTAGGCGCCGCACTTATCATGTTTTGCTCCGAATCCGACAATGGCCCTAAAATATGTTCCTCTACCAAGTTTATGTTGTTCTCGCCAAACTGAAAAAATGGATACTATCTTCTGATTATAAGGAGTATCCAGTCCAAATTTGGTAAAAATCCTGGGTGAGGATGGTACCAGAAACTTGTTTATGTTTTAAAAACTTTAACTGGAGACTGTTTGTAATGTTAACTGGAGGAATAACATTTCTCGTCAATCACAGTCTAATACGACCACAGAAGTTGAATCCTGAATAGTTGGAGCAAGTTAGGGACACAATATTCAGGCTTGCATGATACTGTAAGAATTTGGATTGTGATCAAATTTTTGACATAATAAAGGTTTCTAACCCAAAACAAATGTGGTCAAATCTCTTTAAAATTTTAAATGGGACATTTGATTTACCTAGTATGGTCTGATATCTAAAATCTAACTACATGGTTAAAGATTCAGCATATAAAAAACACCATAAATTTAAATTTTAGTTGAGATCAAACAAAGTTTAGTTTTGGACCCTTCAAACCTTAATATGGACTAATTTGAAAACAGGGCCCAAAATAAAAAAATATAAATGCACAGTAAGATTCAGCATATCATAGAGTCACAATAATTCAATGAAATCAAACAAAGTTTAATTTTGAACCCTTTGGACCTTAATGTAGACCAATTTAAAAATGGAGCCCAATATCCAAAATAGTAATATAAGGTTAGAACCCCCAAAAATTAAAGACTTTAAATTAATCTCTTTGAAATTGGTTAAAAGATTTGTATTTATTTTCAATTTCATATTTTTGCTATTGCGCAATACTGTGCTGTACCACAATACTAAGTTAATCTGTTATATCTAATCAGTTAAACAGTGTTCAATTGTCCTAATATAAGAATTTAGAAATACTTGGAATGAGTTGTTTTATCCTGTCCAGTACTATAGACAAAATTTCACATAACGTTTCATTGCATACAAGAAAATAATCATCACTGGAAGTTAACTTATCAAATATTCACCCTTTTTCTATCTATGTACAAGCTTTAGTAACCATGTAAACTCAAGTTTACAAATATTCTATGGAAACACCCAATGAAAAAAATAATAGTGCTTTGAAACACCCAAGATATATGTCTATGACACAGAAATATTTTAATGAAATGAAATGTAGGATTAATTTCATACATCTTTCAAATTCAAGGGAATATTTGTTTTCAATCCTTTTTCTTATGCAACCTGATGTGACCTACTATGATTTGGTGGTATTACACCTTTATAATAAAAATCAATGGAATTACTAAATTCTATGAATTCTTTGAATGTTTTGACTTGAACAATCAGCCATTTTGTGCAAAATTTTAAACTGGTCCTTTGACTAATTTCATTGTAAAGCAAATAATGCATTCACAAATAGAGATCAGACAGCCATGAGGTTGAAAGTAAACAAATTTAGGTGGATATCTAAAAACATGAAATATTTTAAAATAATACACTTTGATTGCTATGTTGAGTTTAGATTCCATCAAAAACTGCCAGTCTATAATTTACCAATGCGATATGACAATTCATTGCCTTTTCTTTATTTCTAAGTATTCTCTAGGTGCCCTTTTGTCAATTTTTTTCATGCGCTCATGTTTCATTAAAGTTACCATGCCTTTTTTGTGCGATAGGGAAAACACTAGAATGTAATTAAGTATGCCAATGAAAAAGAAAAAAAAAAAAGAGTATATGTCTCCATTGGACTACAAAAGTCAATAAAATTACACAAGTGTTGTTTTCAAAAGATGACACAAACCTGAGCAAGTGTGGCAGTGTATTTTCTAAGTGCAGTTGATGTTATTCTTTCAGGACTTGTCAAGGATAATTCACTACATATCTTTTTGATCGAGTCATAACTTCTAACTGCTCCTGCACCTAGAATAAATTTAATTTATTACTTTATCAATTAAAAACAATTTTACATCTTATTAATAAATCTATTCAACAATGCAATAGTATCCTAATACCATGATTTCCAGTAAAATAAAACCATTTTGTCACATATTTCACTCCGCTGACGTCCCACAACAATGAGTGTAATGCATAGAAATAATGCAGTTCCTTTGCACTTTGTATTGGTTTTTTTTCATTAAAATTAATGTAATTAAAAATTTTAACTTATCCAAGAAAAAAAAAATATCGAAAAATATTTAACGACCAAAACATGCTGATAATTATCTGTCAGTAAAGAATGTGTATCACAATTTGTATAAAGCAATTGATATCCTTTCAGGTGTTGATTGTTGAATCAAACTCACGCACACCAGAAAAATAAATCAAAACTTTTAGTTTTGTTCCACATGAACAGCGATTTAGTTGTGAAGTAGAAAACCAGTCTAGACCTAGTGTAAATTAAGAATATTGTGTGCACATTAATGTTTCTAGATCTATTTTGTATTTTGATTAGAACTCTCTAGTTGATTTTAGGCAAATAAAGAATGAGTGATTGCCTGAAAAACATAAGGGAAGGTGTTTTAAGCAAATATATTCAGTTATTCATTCCCCGCATCTTGTAAATTATGACTCTGATCAATGAAAGGATAACACACAAAACAATCACAGGAAGACTCTTGAACAAAAGTAGGGAATTCTGGCCGGCAATACAGCGGTCATAAAACAGCTTTCAAGTTGTCATTTCCCTGACAATTTATGAACTCATGCTTATCATGATTATAAATACCAATTTCAACTAAATTGTTCAGTAAAATCTATTATATGATGATATCAATGAATGCATATTACTTCTGGAAAAATTAGTATAAGCTTTTTAACGTTCTGTTAATCTAAACAATCAGCAACCAACTGGAAGTGTGAGTCCTGTTAAATGTGTAGCTTTCATAAACTGAACTGCTGAATTGAATCATTCAATACAGGAACTGGCATAAATTGTAGCTTTATACATGATAAAATAAACAAGTAACCATGTTATATGATTACAAGTTTAGTTTATAATACTTTATTGATGTTTTTTTAATCTAGTAGGGTGTTTTTCAGAGGGAAAAGCATGACATGTGTGCTATTACATGCTTTTACAAACTTTTTGTCATGTCATGACATGATTTCTTATGGCAGAAGGTTGGCAACTATGCCTATGAACCGCACCAATAAAAAACAACTACTGAACAACAGGCTCATGACGACATACAGGTGCATAAAAATGCAGCAGATTTGAATGTTTTAACAGGCGGAAATATTCACCCTATAAACCTGAGACTATAGTGTATCATAACAAAATGAAAAGACACACTATAAAATATAAGTTGAGAATAGCTTAACTCACCAAAAAATGAAATAGAAATCTTATTGAAGTTGGCATTGAAAAAGTGTACAGACTTTTAAGAAAAACAAGGATTCTAACTACTTCCTTCTTTGTTACACAGGATCCAGCACTTTCAAATACATTAAACAAAATAAGTTTTTTTAAAAGTTTTTAAAAGTCAAGACTTGGGACTTCTCATTTTGACTGCAAAAAAACTCTTATATGGAGAATTAAAAAAATAAGGGGCAAATGTTACCTTTTGTTGCAAACAGGTACTTGTTGGAATCTTTAATTTTTGCCTTTCTTCGATTATTTAAATCTGCAATATAGTTCAGAGCTGGTTTAACATCTTCAGGGACAAGAACTGGTACAGGTCTACAGCGCTGTCAAAATAAAAAGATTTTTTTTAAGAAAATATTTTATGAATAACTACTGAAATAAAATATGGTATGAACAGATGCTTACTGCATTGGTGTTCATGCATAGACATGCTCCCTGTTTTACTACCCTCTCCGACAGATGACAATAAAACATTAAAAGATTTGGAAATACAGTAAAAACTGAACCCTGATTAATCCGAAGTTCATGTCAAACCAAACAGTTTCCAAGTTTCGTAAAAATCTCCCTATTAATAAACATTATTTTAACCTGTACAAACAGAATCCTGCTGATCATCGAATACAGAACACATTTTATAGTAAATGACATTGTGTATAAAAAAACCTGTCAAAACAGATTGATAGCATTCAAAACAATGTTAGTTTTGCAATGATTTGCATGCACAACAGTTGATCCCTAAGGGTATTTGAAGTTTGATGAAATTATTTTTCTATACAACTAAGCTTTTGCATGTATGTGTCGTTAAAACTTTTGAGATACACTCCATTTTAATCAAAATAATAAAAAATTTCCATCACCATATTAAAGGACGAAACAATATTTTCTTGATTTCAAATTGGAATTCATTGAAAATTTGAGTCAATTTCCATGAATTTCACAAACGTAAAGATATATATATACCATGCTAAATATGATTTTGTGTAAAGGGCCATCGAATGCAAACAAGTCGGAAGATCTGCAATGATGCATGCTGTGATCACATTAGTTTATTAAGATCTTAGATTGCAGATAAATTACTGAAACTGATGATGTTAATGACAAATTAGTCACATCATCAGTAATTAACAGACTTGATCAGTGGAGAAATCTGGTTTTGAATAATTGAATCAGACAATGATGTAGACACACAAAAAATAAACCGAGGCCCCAGATTTGATTCATACTGATATTTTGGATGTTTAGGCTAAGTTGTTGAAGAATATTTGCTATGTATACTATAAATCAAACTGAAGAAATAAATCAAATAACCAAGGACATCACTGTGAAGGAAATCTAGCTACACTGAAATATTTATTAAATTTTTAAAAAGGAATTTGATCAATGAACAGTTTGAACTTGTATTTGATTATGAAAAAATTGCTATTTGTTTTTCTGATCTTTAAATATCTCTATAATCTATTTCATTTTCTTTTTTTTAACATTGAAATCAACATGAAACTTGTTGTATTTCGTTTTACTTGGTGTTCTTGTCAGTAAGTGTTAAATTGATTTTAAACTTTTCAATTCTGTTAAACTCTGCAATCTGAATACATGTGAAAACCAAACAAAACACAAAGTCTGGACTGTGTTCGGTTAGGACAGGTTTCATTGTACAAATATTCTATTCATTGATGATCGAAGATATTTTCTCATTAAGAATCATTTAACAAATTAGACCTCATGGCAAAGTGTCTCATGAAAGCACAGTCAATGAAGGAACCTATCAGGATACAAAAAGTATCTCAATACTTACTTTACCCCTGGTGATTATCAGATCTTGCGAGCTAAGAAGGTGCATTTCCAGGTCTGACAGGTCTCCAATTAGTGATTTGTCTACATCATTTAATTCAGTTTTTCTATTTGTGTTAAAGTCTTTGAGGCTGAAAAATAAGTATTAATAGAAAATACAGATTCTCACAATGATTTCTCTTGAATCTCTGGATTTTATTTTGCAAATAATGGTGATTTATCTAATTCTGAGTGTAGTCAAAGATTCATTGTCACCTACATGACAAACATATTAATTTGAGGATTGAAGTATGATTTCATGTTGTCTATATATACATGTATGATATGTTTTCAAAATTTAAAACCATGGATATCAAACTTATTATCACAAGCGACAAACAACCCAGGGATTACAAAAGTGTGCAGAACAGGACACAAGTTTAATCACAAGTGTTGTTTGGCACCAATATTCATGGATTCCATGAATAGAGGAATAAAAAATTTAAATACACAAATTTTCTATAAGAATATATATGCAGACTTTGGCAAAATCATGAAATTGCAATTTACCTCATACCACGAAAATTGGTACCCATGAAATAAAGGAATCCACAGTATAATTATTGCACTCATAAGAAAAATGCATCAGCTTTTAAAAGTAGTGTAGGTCATGATATATTTCTAAAAATTACTGCACAGCTAATCCTTGTCATATTGAACATTATTTTTGAAATGTAATAATTTAAGTAAATGCTAAGGTAATGCAGTTATTTGCAAATAAATGCCATTCCACAGATATTCTTTTTCTAGAATTCACAGCTGTTATGTTTTTTAATGGATCTAGAAAAAATGAAAAGGATTGACAAGTAAGACAAAGGTAAGCAGCAAGGTAATGCCGAACCATATGAGGGAACAGATATTATTACTTTACAGAATGGTGGGCATCAATTGATGACAAAAGCATGTCTGTGCCAAACTAAAGTCTAATAATTACCTCATTGCATCTATTTCCCCTGATCTTCTTTTGTTATATAGGAGGAGTCTGGCTTGTGCAATCGTGCATAGACTGCTGTACACATCTTCCTTATATTGGAAATCTTTCAACCTTGTTATTAGATGAATATTTAACTTTCTTACATCTTCTGGACTTGGTATAGCCTTATTTTGACTAAATGTTCTCAAAATTAATATTGTTCTAGCCAGTTTCGTCACACGCTCACCCCATTCAGACTTAATCAAAATGTCCACATTGTTGCAAGCCTCTATTCCTTTTTTAGTGTCATCACCTTTATCAGTGGATTTGATTAGACGATTTCTTTTTATTTTTATCATAGTTGTAAGGTCATATTTGATTTTTATTGCATTTGAAGGTGATTTTAAATCATCTTCATCGTCCATTGTTGGAGCTGACACATTCAATGCTGCTCTGACTATATTGTCAAAATAAGTGGGATGTAAAAGGTGTCCATCGACTCAAATTCCTCTTCTTCTTTGGCATCACTCTTCATTTCACTAACATCCTCTGCTTCTTCTTCATTATTATTATTCACTTTACTTTCATTGTCTTTTTCTTTATTCTTCATTTTATTAAGTTCTATCAACAGCTTTGAAACCAATCTCATTCTCTGTGAGGAATACTCAGCCCTTTTCAAAACGTTGTCTATACTTCTGTTGTACCATGATTGACCAAACAATGTTATTATATCATCGTTTCTTGCCACTTTTCCTACTTTGTCATTATTCATCTTTCCGAAAACCTCATTCCTAAATTTTTCTGAACCAGCTGTATTTGCTAGGCGACCACTCAGAATGTCTGATTGTATCACTAAATCTTTTTTTCTTTTTTTTTCTTCAGGCTTCTTAGTACAGCCACTCTGATGTCTTGGAAGCATTGACATCAAAATCCATTCTTTACAGTGAGGACATGGTCCATAATCATCACAACAGAAGTCTTTTGTCGGTCTTCTACTCAGCAAAAGTTCTCCTTCTTTTTTACCAATTACTTGAGTATTATGTTTGTCATCTCCTTTTTCCCTAATGCCATCAATTTTTTCAACTTTATGTTTTGCCCTCAGGTGTGGTCCAATATGCAGAACTAGCTGCCCACAAAAGTAACAAGCATGGTAGGAGTTATAAACTCTAGTGCCTTTTTTTTCTGCTTAGTCATTTTTTTCATTTGATTTTAGAACCCTTCTTGTATAAACTTTATTATGTTGCTTACATCGTAAAAACTGGTCTGCCTCTAAGTCATCAGTTTGAACTGTTTCATTGTTAACTGTCCCTAAATCATTTTTTTTTATTGTTGGCGTAGCAAGATTATCTCCATTTTCATCAGTAAGAATAGGATCATCTATATCATTATCAACTGGCTTAGCAAGATTATCTCTATTTTCATCAGTAAGAATAGGATCTTCTGTTTCATTATCAACTGGCTTAGCAAGATTATCTCCATTTTCATCAGTAAGAATAGGATCATCTATATCATTATCAACTGGCTTAGCAAGATTATCTCCATTTTCATCAGTAAGAATAGGATCATCACTATCAACTGGCGTAGCAAGATACAAAATTTCATCAGTCAGAATAGGATCTTCTTTATCATTATCCACTGGCTTAGCAAGATTATCTCTATTTTCATCAGTAAGAATAGGATCATCACTATCAACTGGCGTAGCAAGATACAAAATTTCATCAGTAAGAATAGGATCATCACTATCAACTGGCGTAGCAAGATACAAAATTTCATCAGTAAGAATAGGATCTTCTTTATCATTATCCACTGGCTTAGCAAGATTATCTTTATTTTCATCAGTAAGAATATGATCTTCTTTATCATTATCCACTGGCTTAGCAAGATTATCTCTATTTTCATCAGTAAGAATAGGATCAGCTTTTTCATTATCCACTGGCTTAGCAAGATTATCTCCATTTTCATCAGTAAGAATAGGATCTTCTTTATCATTATCCACTGGCTTAGCAAGATTATCTCTATTTTCATCAGTAAGAATAGGATCATCTATATCATTATCAACTGGCTTAGCAAGATTATCTCTATTTTCATCAGTAAGAATAGGATCTTCTATATCATTATCAACTGGCTTAGCAAGATTATCTCTATTTTCATCAGTAAGAATAGGATCATCTATATCATTATCAACTGGCTTAGCAAGATTATCTCTATTTTCATCAGTAAGAATAGGATCATCTATATCATTATCAACTGGCTTAGCAAGATTATCTCTATTTTCATCAGTAAGAATAGGATCATCTATATCATTATCAACTGGCTTAGGAAGATTATCTCTATTTTCATCAGTAAGAATAGGATCTTCTTTAGCATTATCAACTGGCTTCGCAAGATTATCTCTATTTTCATCAGTAAGAAGAGGATCTTCTGTTTCATTATCAACTGGCTTAGCAAGATTATCTCTATTTTCATCAGTAAGAATAGGATCTTCTGTTTCATTATCAACTGGCTTAGCAAGATTATCTCTATTTTCATCAGTAAGAATAGGATCATCTATATCATTATCAACTGGCTTAGCAAGATTATCTCTATTTTCATCAGTAAGAATAGGATCTTCTGTTTCATTATCAACTGGCTTAGCAAGATTATTTCTATTTTCATCAGTAAGAATAGGATCTTCTGTTTCATTATCAACTGGCTTAGCAAGATTATCTCTATTTTCATCAGTAAGAATAGGATCTTCTTTAGCATTATCAACTGGCTTAGCAAGATTATCTCTATTTTCATCAGTAAGAATAGGATCTTCTGTTTCATTATCAACTGGCTTAGCAAGATTATCTCTATTTTCATCAGTAAGAATAGGATCTTCTGTTTCATTATCAACTGGCTTAGCAAGATTATCTCTATTTTCATCAGTAAGAATAGGATCTTCTTTATCATTATCCACTGGCTTAGCAAGATTATCTCTATTTTCATCAGTAAGAATAGGATCTTCTTTTTCATTATCCACTGGCTTAGCAAGATTATCTCTATTTTCATCAGTAAGAATAGGATCTTCTATATCATTATCCACTGGCTTAGCAAGATTATCTCTATTTTCATCAGTAAGAATAGGATCTTCTATATCATTATCCACTGGCTTAGCAAGATTATCTCCATTTTCATCAGTTAGAAAATCTTTCTGTATTTTCTTTTTCTTGGCAATACTCTTCAAAATAAAAAGCAAGGGTTAAATTAATATATGTATGTCATCACCTATGATAAGCTAGATAAGACTTAAACTTAAGAAAAGGAATGAGTTTGCCAGGGGCAAAATAGTAGGTCCAATAGGAAATTGTGGCTTCTTTTTCCAAATTGATATATATATATTTCAAGTAAATAGCCATTTCTGTTAAATGTTTCATATAAAACTGGCCATTGGTTTGTTTTGTCTAAGTTGTTATACACTAGTCATTTGGGGCCATTGAAACCTTACTTTTGTGTGTGAATTCATTGACCTATAATTGCTTACATCTACTTATTTATGTCTTGAATGGAAAGTTGTCTCATTGGCATTCATACCACATCTTATGTCTATATTGTACTTCTAAATACAGAATTGTAGGTTAAAAATTCAAAATGGTTTTGTAAAACATAGTATCTTTCCTACTTTCGTTGTTGTCTCTGTTTTAGTGTAATAGCAAAATGCACCTAAATTGCATATATATCATAATATCTGATAAATTTGTAAATCTTTTAAAAAAATAATTTCAGCTTATTGACATTAAGTCTAGTAAAATTCAGGATGGTTACGAAAGATATTAATGTTTTAAAACATTAAACTATAGACTATGATATGCTAAGCCGAAGAAAAAATAAGTCTTATTATAAGGGGGGGGGGGGGGGGAATCAGGAAAAAAAATATAACAAATTTTCCTCTGTATAAACAAGCTTTTGACCAAGTCCATTCCACCTGTCTTAATACATACAGTTATGAATGGAGGATCTGTTATAGAGATGATGATAACACCCCCTTTTTTCAAGTTAATTGATCTGATGACAAAAACAGATTGTTCTTCCATTTTTAGCCTCTGACAGGTGTATTTTGGCATTGAAGTCAAGGAAAACACATTTGTATGAATATATCTTAAAAATGAAAACTTTAAAGGGAGCGATCAAAATCACCATTTGAGCAGATATTGACAATGCATGCATGCGTAAATCTCGTGTTATAAAGGAATTCCTTGCTCATTTCGGTATTGATAATGGAAGACAAGATTCTAAAGCAAAAAACTAGCAATGCAAAACAGTCAGATATACATGCTCAATCATGCATTACTATCTCCATGTAATAAAAAATTTAAGTGTCAAACCATCAAATTATCAAATGATGCAATTATGAAAACTTACCTGCTTGCTCTGGCAATTGTTTCTGCTCTTGTTTTGTTTTCTTTTTCTTGACATTGGACTATAAAGAAAAAATAAAAAAAATACATAATTGTAACAGGATGCTGTTACAAAGTCTCCCAAACAAAGCCCCTGTAATAATAAACCCTGTGGTACTACCCCTATAATTTTCCCATTAAAGCTGTCCAATCTCACTTGCTTTTTTAGGATTTGATGACAATGAAAATTGAAATGATTGTGTTTTCTAATGAAATTTTTGTTGGGATCTTGACTTCAAAAAATGGGGGGTGACCCCGGAGACTCATTATATTTCATTTGATTTGTTTTATTGTCCCATATATATATATATGGTTTAGGGTGGGGATTTCTACCGTTTACAAGTTCTCACACCTGAGGGAGTAAGAGTGACCCCAAGGACTCACCCTTTATTTTATTTGATTTATATATGTCCCATACAAGATTGTATATGGTTTAGTTGTGGGGATCTATAACGTTTACAAGTTCTCAAACAGGCAGGGGAGGGGATGACCCCCTGGGATCCCCCCTATATTTCATTCGATTTGTTTTATTGACCCATACAAGAATATATATGGTTTAGGTGTGGGGATCTCGACCGTTTTCAAGTTATTAAACAGAAGGGGGTGGGGGTGACCCCAGGGTACTCCCCCTATATTGCATTTGATTTGTTTTATTGTCCCATACAAGAATATATATGGTTTAGGGGTGGAGATCTGGACCATTTTCAAATTATCAAACAGGAGGGGATGGGGGTGACCCCCAGGGACTCCCCCTATATTGCATTTGATTTGTTTTATTGTCCCATACAAGAATATATATGATTTCGGGGTGGGGATCTGGACCGTTTACAAGTTATCAAACAGGAGGGGGTGGGGGTGACACCCCGGGGGCTCCCCTATATTTCATTTGATTTGTTTTATTGTCCCATACAAGAATATATATGGTTTAGGGCTGGGGATCTCGACTGTTTCAAGTTATCATGCAGGAGGGGGTGGGGATGACCCCCCCAGGACTCGCCCTATATTTCATTTGATTTGTTTTATTGACCCATACAAGAATATATATGGTTTAGGGGTGGGGATCTGGACCGTTTACAAATTATCAAACAGGAGGGGATGGGAGTGACCCCCGGGGACTCCGAAGAAGAAGAAGAAGAAAGAAGAAAGAAAGAAAGAAAAAGAAGAAGAAATCGTTGTGTTTGCAAGCAAGACACATGTCGCCCAAAATGGAGTTTTGAAGACATATTGTTTTTCTTCTCATTGATATGCAGAGGACTATAATGGTTTTTTTTACTTTTTGAAGACATATTGTTTTCTTCTCATTGATATACAGAGGACTATAATGATTTTTTCTGTTTATATGATCAAAAATCTAATAAAGTAAAAAAGTAAAAACTTCCTCCTATGGGCCTCCCAACTGTGGGCCTCTTGTTGGAAAATATCTGGCTCAATGCATCAATAGTTGAGTTACAAAATACAAACATTAAGCTACTATCATTTATGTATAAAACATTCATCTTTAATTTTTTGAAAAATAATTTTGTCGTTTGTGCTGCTGAAAGTTAAGAACATGCAAAGCAAGTTCAAATGACAAGAGATGATGAATATCTTGAACATAACATAAATTATACACAAGGTTAATCTGTTAAATGAATACATGAAGTAAAAAGAATATAGTTCAAGATTTTTCTATTATATATTCAAACAATTACCAACAAATTCTTTGTGACTTTTTGTCCTATCAAATTTGTGATTTTCTGTCTTTTTTACCTTGTGCGACAGGCGCATGCAATTCCATTAATTACTGAAATTGTATTTTTTGCAAGGAAATAATGTAATTTCTGAAGAAAAATGTAAAAAAAAATTTGAAAATCATGAAAATTGCGATTTCTATTGTGAACGACATGGTGTAATCACCGGTACAGGATCGGAACCGACTTTACATCCGGTATATGCCATAGCACATAATTTTAAAATAATCAGTAGTTCAGAAATATAAATATACCTTTTTTTATATCAAAATTTATTCTGGACAAAAACAAAGTATCTATCAAATTTTTTATTACTTTATGAATCTATCAGATTTACGAGGAAAATGTTTGACAAGACGCAAAAAACGAGGAAAATGTTTGACAAGACGCAAAAAGGATCAGTATGGCAACACTTAAGGCTATGAAATAAACATGATTTTTTTAATCCGTATTTCATAAACGTCAATATGTACTTTGTTTTATCAGATTTAATTCTTGACAGTAAGAAAGTATCTACCGAAATTTTCTTACTTGGCGAATCTTAGATTGCTATAAGGAACGAAAAGTACTGACGTGTCGTTGGCATTCGTGGTTGTTTGGTGTTGACATATATATAACCATCATCAAAATTTGGTTATTTCAATAGCTTGGTAACTGATAAAAATACTTATTTGAAATGAAAATTGGGTATACAAAAATTGGTTATTTTAACGAATAGTGTATGAAATTTACTTTCTGCTGTAATAATAAATACATCTGTCAAAATACACAAGCTATGAAATCTAGCGTACTACCAACGACAAAATAACTTTATAACTACCTACAGAATATCGGATTCCGATGTACATCGGATATGAAAGGTCATATTAAGATAACATGTCAGAACAGTATAATGTGTTTCTAGTGCTGCTCTCGCGATAGGAAACTTGGAAAAGAGCAACCGAATATTAGGAAAACTTTCGATGAACAAATAGTTATAATTCATTGCACTTTGATCAGGGTTAAAATCGAATTATCATTGGTTAGCATAACTTAAATTAACATGTCTACCTGGTTTTGTATCGTATTGGTTGTACCTATTATCACTAGTAGCAATATTTGAGTCTGAAACGGTCATTTTGGTCTGATCAAGTCTTAATCGACTGGATTTACTGCTAGAGAAAAACGTCAAGACTTTTTCAGACTTTCAGACGCTGTCACGATATACCGTGTTAAGTCCGTTCAGTCATGTCAAGATAAACAAGACAGATTGTTCTTGCATCCGATTAAGACTTGATCAGACCATGTTCAGATCAAATCAGACTAAAGGTAAAAATGCTGTTTAGACTTTGTAAGATCGTGTTCAGTCGTGTTAAGATTTTAAATATTCGGATGCAAAACGGGCGACACTTTCTCTGTGTTTATTAGGGGTTGTTTCCCTTTCATGAATAAAATCGGAAAAGAATGGAGGGTATTCTTTTGTGGTCTTTTAATGTTATGCTGTATGTCTATTAATTAAATAACGTTTGCAAAGTTTCAATTCATTTTTTTCCGATGTTATTTCACGTAAACATTTAATTGGTTATATAAGAAAAGAATGATTGGTGTAACCGGAAAAGTGTGTAAGTCATAAAAACTTTGCAGTCGTGCTTTCTTGCATTAAGTAATTTAGTATTTATTCGTTCCGTCTGTAAAGATATAATGATTAGTAATAAATATCAAAAATGTTCTTAAACACATTTTCGTCTGTGATTTAAAATAATTGTTCTTACCCATATAAAATTAGTCAAGGAAAATATATTCTGAGTATCTTATTTACTTTATATTTTTCTAAATTTTGACAGATGACAGATGTTTGGTGAAAGTTATTTACATTTCAATATACGGATTATCTGAGCATTCAACCGAAACGGACTGTCAAACACTATCTTAATAATCATAAATACCCGTGCTACGCTGTGACTGTTTTATCCATGGAAGTTATGTGAAATATGTTGCCATGTTTTATCATATATAAGGATACACCGGATAAAATTATTACATTTACAAATTATAAAACATTATTTCAAAATATATGCAACAAGAATGCAAGCATATTTCAAAAATCTAGGTAACAGTTTATATTTAGTATAGGTACCTATAAACCCCGATTTTTATACTTCTCTGACCTTTTTTAAGCATCAAGTCTTTTTTAACAAGAACTAAAAAAAAAAAGAATAAACTATATTATAGAAAATATAACATGGAATAAGTTATGAAACAATTGGTAAAAAGAAAATGTACATAATTATACATCTAGTTTACGGTTTATATTTCTGTTTCGTAGCAGATTTGTTTTATATAGCACCCGTGTTACTTCTCATTTCAAAAACAAAATGTCAAAGTGGCTTGGTGCCTAAACGGCTTCATGGTGCTTCAGAAAACATATCCTTCTAATGATTAAAATTTAATAAATCTTCATTTATCAAGGCTAATGAACAATTTCCCAAATTGTAAAAAGAAAATATGTAATAAAAAGTAATTATTTCAAGATTTGTCTCTTATATAATCAATCAATTGTCAACAAATTATTTGTGACTTTTTGTCCTATCAAATTTGTGACTTTCTGTCCTGTGACTTTCTTTCCGCTGTCCGTTAAAACGGACCTCCCGCACTCAGGGAGAGAAAACTGCCGAGACTACCAATGCTAATTGTTAGATAGAATAATAAGTACATCAGTCATTCTCAATTTTATATTTATATAATCAAAATATGCATGCTGGTGCTTAAAAGAACCTGTTTCAAATGTTTAATTTAAGGAATGCTCTGATTTCAAAACTTAAATCTTCCGCTGTTGCTTTCGATTGATATCATTTGCATATCACGTAATATTGTTCGCTGAACATTCAACTATCTTAGCCAAGCATATGCACTTCGGAATGCAATCTATAGGAAAAAAGTAAACCAGTTTTAAATTATGTACATTGTGCGAGTGTCGTGTTCGACTTATAATCCTTTAATCTATAAAATAGTCATCAGTTACTATTAATACAATTATACTGTTGCATTTTTGACACTTTACTCAGAAAGATGTGAATATATTTTAATTTTCTTTCAACAAAATTTCCTACTTCAATTTGCTACTCGTCTACCAAAAAAACACACATTTATTATTTCATTTTTGCCATCAAAATTCCTGATAGATATGTTTTTTTTTTTTATCTATCTATCAGGTAAATATCAAAAATGAATCCAGAGTTTTTCAAGTACATTGACGGTTGTGAATTAAGGATTAGTTACTTTATGGAAAACTCATTTACCTGGATGGTAATATTATCGTTAGTCTTTCTTTTAATAATTTGATCATTTTTCCTCTTTTGCAAATTATAGATAAAGAATAAAATGAAAATTTGTTTTCGATTGCATTCAGGCAGAGAGAAACATGCATATTTTTTTTTTTTTTTTTATTTCAATTAATTACGGAAGATTTTTAGTACGGATATAAAACAATTCTTAAT